CCACAAGCCCCTCCCCCCCGGGCCCCCAAACAAACAAAACCCGGCCCCCCCCAAAAAAAAGCCCCCTCCCCCCCGAGAACCCCCCAGGGGGGGGGGGTGATGCGCTCTTTCTCGAGGTCGGTATGCCGCCGCGACCAAGCCTCGTCCGTCCCCCCCCCCTCCTGTGTGTCTCTCGGCTCGAAGTCGCCTTCTTCTCGAGGTCGCCCGCGTCTTGCTTGTCTGGGTGCACGGCGAGCAGCGCCTTGTGGTACGCCTTCTTGCACGCCGACGGCTCGATCAGCTGGCCCAGCGTCATCGGCTTCCACGAGCATGGCGGAGCGATCTCGTGCAGCGACGCGAGCAGCGCACGCAAGTTCTTCTTGTCGCGCTGCCACTGCTGCACGCGCGCTGTGACGGTCTTCTCGAGGTCGTGCTGCAGGCGCGTGGGGGACGCGGGGGTGTGGCGGGGCGCGGGGGGGGGACCGCACGTACGTTGCGTGCGTGGAGGGCGGAGTGCGGACGGCGGGGAGGGTCGTGGTAGCGTCTCGCGGGCGGGCGCGGCCACCTCTCGGTCGCGGTCCGCCTCCACCTTTGCCTCGCGCGCGCGCTGCTCCTGCACCTTGGCCGCGATGGCAGCCTGCTTCTCCGCCTCCCGCCTTGCCGCAAGCTGCTCGCGAGACAGCGGCCGCCCGTCCGGACCGGTGATGCTGCCCGCGCGGCCGACGCCCGGCGCCGCCGCGGGCCGCCCGTTCCCCATCCCGCTCAGCAAATCGGCCGACCCCATCCCGCCGAGCAGGTCCGCGCCGCCGCCTCCCATCCCGCCCATCAGATCGCTTCCGCGGCCGCCGCTGCCGCCGCCGCCCGATACCAGCCCTCGCGCGGGGGCCGCCGCCGGCTTGCCGCCATTCATCCAGTCGTCGAAGTCGGAGTTGGACCCCGCGCTCCCGCCGCCACTCGGCGTTGGCGCGGCCATCGTGGGGGTGAGGGCGGGCGGCGCAGCCATGGCGAAGAGGTCATCCATCGCCGAGCCGCCCGAGCCGCCCATCAAGTCGAGGTTGGCCGCGGAGCCGGAGCTTGCGGGCGTGCCACCGCCGCCCAACAAGTCGATCGACGGCTCGTGCATCGGCGGCGGCGTCACCGCTGCCTGCCGTGCCTGGGGCGGCGCGCCGCCACCGCCAAGCAAGTCACCCTCGAGCCCAAACGGGTCAGCCGCGGCCGGCGGAGGCGGCGGCGGCGGCGGCGGCGAGGGGCGCGATGGCGCCGCGTGGGAGGCTGGCGCGGAGGGTGTGGCGGGAGGGACGTACGAGCTCGGCCGCGTGTCGGGCAGCGGCTGCGAAGTGGAGGAGGAGCGGCTGCCGCCGCTGCGCGTGGGACGCTCGCCCTCCCTCGCCGCCGCCGCCGCCGCCTTGTCGGCCTGCTGCTGCTGCGCGTTCGCGACTAGCTGCGCCATCTCGCCGCGCATCCGCGCCCAATCGCGCTCGAGCGTGGCGGAGCCTCCGCCGCCCGCCGACGCGGCAACGACCACGTCCTCGAGGGCGCCCGCCGATGAGGAGAAGAACTCGAGCTGCGAGAGCACGAGGCCGGCAAAAGCGACCGAGAGCATCTGCTGACGCTCAGCGTTGACCGCCGCCACGTCGCGAGCGACGCCCTCCGAGTGGCGCGCAAACGTCTTGGCGGCCGCCTCGAGGTTGCCTGCTCACAGCGTCACGTGTGAGCAGACGCCGTCCCACCGCACGGGCCGAGACGCCTGCCGGCGCATGGCTGCCCTCGTAGACCGACTTGTTCGTCGGGTCTGACTGCAGCAGCCCGACCTGCTTGCGCCGGAACGCCTCGTAGTCGAGCCGCACCTGCTCACACGCACACCTCCTCTCGCCCCTGTGCTCTGCCACCAGCCCTGCTGCAGAGCCGCTCCTTTTTGCGGTCGGCGAGCCGCCGCTCGAAGTCCTTCCTCCCCTCCACCTCGCGCCGGACCGGCTGGAAGACGTTGCGGTAGAGCACCTGCCCCGAGGTGCGGGCGCGCTCTCCGTGGCGGCGGCGCGCCGCGGAGCAGAGTGGTGCGGAGCGGGGCGGGGCAAGTGTAGTCGCCCCGTGCGAGTGATGCGGTGGTGACGTGCAGTGCGAGGTGCGGTCTGCGGCGCGGTCTGCGTCGCGGACTGCGGCGCGGCGCGGCACGGCGCGGCGCCCAGAGGGGGGGGGGGGGGGGGCAGAGCCCGGAGGCAGAGGGAGAGGGGAGAGGAGGGAGAGGGTGGGGAGGGAGAGGCGCGGAGGGACGCGTGCACGCGCGGCGACGCGAGACGAGGCGATGGCGCAGGCGCGGAGGAGCTGGAGTGGTGAAGGCAGAGCCGGCCGAGGGTTTGCGAGGCGGCTTAACAGCAAGGGGGCCCTCGGTGGGTGTCGACGGCCGGGAGGGACGCTATATCCATCCGCGGCCAGAGAGGGGGTGCCCGAGATCGAGGGGCGGCGATCAAGGCCAGGGGCGCCTGGTTGAGCGCGCGCATGTACTTGTCGCTCCGCTCGTACAGCCGGCGGAGTGACGCGTCGATCCGAGCCTGTGCCGGGAGATGCGAGTGCGTGGGTGTGACGCAACGCGTGAGTGCGAATGCACGAGCCGCTGCCCACACGACGACGTGCCGCGAGGGCGGCAGAATCTACTCTGCTTTGTGTGTGCTGTGGTGCGGCGCACGTGCTGCTGCAGCTCCGGGATCTCGTCCTCTTCGGCCGCACCGCCACCCGCCGCGTCAATCACCTGCTGAGTGACGCGGCTTCGCACGTCGGAGAGAGCGGAACCGGCGTCCTGGACCTTGCTCTTTAGCTCGGCCGAGAGGGACGCGAGCTTGTGCATCTGCACCGGCAGCGCGTATGTTTGCGCACGTTTCTTTTATTTAGGGAAGACCCTCGCCCCGCGCGCAGACGCTGAGACCCCCCCCCCCCCCCCCACACACAGTGAGAGATGGGTAAAACTAAGGAGCGAGGCGGACCCTTTTTTGAGGAAAGACCGGGAGTGCTGCTAGGGGGCCTAGGGCTAGGCCTAGGGTTGGGCTCGGCCAGGTTTTCCGGAAAACAAAAAGGAAAACAGAGGTCCCCAGCACTTTGCGTTTCCGGAAATTTCCAGGGACAGAGGGTGTTTGGTGCTCCATTCTGGAAACTCGCGAGTTTCCCTGAGTCTGAGAGCTGGTTTGGGGCAAAATCTGAGGCAAAATTGAGGAAATCGACAAAATACCCAGGCGGTCGCAGGGTAAGTTCCAGGCATACACGGGTTCTCCGCAAAATTCCCGGCATTTTGCCGATTTGGCCTAAAATTTGGCTGATTTTGGGCCCAAACCACAGCCTCGGACTCGGCTCAGCGCCAAAAATTTGACGATTTCCACGGAGTTTTCTCGGGAAAATAGAGAGGAAAAGAGAGGGTGCTGTAGAGAAAAAAGGAAAGGAAAACAGACGGGGTGCGAGAGGCAAACCTGGCCGAGCCCAAGCCTAGGGGCTAGGGCCTCGCCGGCGTTTATACACACGTCGCCAGCATGGGAGGCCGAATGCACGCGAGTAGGCCGCATGGGCGGGTATAAACGGGTACGCGGCCTTCCCGTTGCGCTCGAGGCTCGAGAGCGCCAAGCTCACGCCGCGGGCCCTGGTTGCGCGCCTCGCTTGAAGGTCTTTGTCCTCTCGAGCAGCTTTGTCGCGGCCTTTGTCGGCGCGGCGGCGCCCGCCATGAGGGCGGCGCCGATGCCCTCGTCCTTGAGGTTGAGCTCGGTGAGGCTCTCGTTGTCCTTGAGCGCCTCGGCGAAGAGGAGTCGCGCCTCCTCCTTGATGTGGTTGTTGCACAGGTTCAGCCCTACCAGCGACCGGTTCGAGCGCAGCGCCTCTGCCAGGTGCGTGGCGCCGGCCGAGCCGAGGCCATTGTCGCCGAGGTCGAGGTGCTTGAGGGACTGGGTGCTCCTGAGCAGCTCGCCGACGCTCGTGGCGCCCGCCTCTAGCAGCTTATTGCGCGAGAGCTTGAGCGTGCGCAGGGTGTGATTACTCGCGAGCGACTGGGAGAGCGCCCTAGCACCCGCCGCCTGGACCTGGTGGGTGGGCGGCACAGAGGTCGAGGGATGGAGAGAGGGAGAACAGGAGGGCGGGCGGCGAGGAAGAAACGGCGCAGGCGCGGGCGACGGCGCGGCGGTGGCGGTGGCGGCGGCGCGGGCAGCGGCGGTGCGTCTCGTCTCACTTGGTTCTCGCCCAGGTCGACCTCCCGCAGCGTCCGATTCACGCGGAGGGCGTCGCCGATGCTTGCGGCGCCGTTGATATGCAGGTTGTTGTCCGAGAGGTCGAGGGTGGTGAGCGTCCGATTCGTGGCCAGCGCCCCGCCGAGCAGCGCCGCACCCACTGCGAAGATGCAGTTTCCGCGCATGTCGAGCGTCTCGAGCCGGCAGTGCTCGGAGGAGATGGCGTCGCACAGCTTGGAGAGCCCGTCCGCTGTGTATATCCCTGTGCCCTGCTTGTCGACGCCGCACAGCACGTTGCCCGCGAGCCTCAGCGTGCGCAGCGGCGCCGCGCCGCGGTGGATGGCTGTGGCGAGCATCGTCAGCCCGGTCGGGCCGATGGCGGCGTTGTCGAGGCCGAGCTCGGTGATGTGCGTCGAGAGGAGGGCGATCGCGCCCACCGCGACCGGGTTGGCCACCTTGGGCTGCAGCTTTACCACGCTGGCGGTGAGTAGCCGCGGCAGGTCGATGTTGAGCTCTTTCGTGAGCGCCTGCAGCACCTTTGGCCATGATGCGACGCGCCCCGCCATGGTGACCGCGTCGTTGATGGCACCGCCGAGCTGGGCGTCCTCGTTGTAGTAGTCGGTGTCGTGGCTGGCGATCGGCTCGAGCAGCGCACGCAGATAGGTGGAGACGTCGTCGGCGCTCTTCCCCGTCGCGGCGCACAGCGCCTGCCACGGCGCGTCCTTTTGGATTTGGCCGTGCCGCCGCTCGATGAGCTGCTCGCACATGTCCTGCACCACCTATCATCATCCGCCGCGCGTCTGGCCGCCGCGTCGCGCGGTGTCTCGCTCACGCGCCATGAACAACCTTGCGCCGCTTCGAGATGACTTGCTCGATGGTGAGCGACGCGAGGTTGATGCTGAGCCGCATCTCGAGCACCTACTCAATGGCTGCAGGGGATGACGAGGCCGGCACCGAGCACGCTCCACCGCCCATCTCGCGCGCCAACACGGAGCCATCCACGCGCGACGACTGCACCTCGAGGCCCGACAGCGGTGCGAAGAGGATCTCCTTCTCATGCGGGTACTGCGACAGCCACGCGATGTCCGCGCCGCGGTCCACCATCCCCATCTGCACCTCGAAGACGATGCCGTTGCGGCCGCCGCCCGCGTAGCCCATGGCAACCTCGCGGCTGGTGGTGGTGGACATGAAAGCCGCCTCCACACCACCCGCCACGCCAAAGGCGTTCTTCTGGTGAAAGTCGCGCGGCAGCGCCATCCCCGACAGGCCGCGGTACACCTTGGCGGCCATGGTGAGCTTGCTCGCCTGTGGACACGCGGGCGCGTCACGTGTCGAGGGCTTCCGCCGGCAAACGCGGGACGAGGGAGGAGGCCTTGACGATGCAGGAGTTGATTGCGTGCAGCGTCGTCGTGTAGCGGTTGGCCGCCGCGCGAGCGTCGACGAAGCTCAGCGCGCCGCACTCGTAAGCAGCGACTTGCTCCTTAGCGCAGCAGAGCGACACAAACCTGCATGGCGCGGTGAGGGTTGAGCCGGGAGTAGGGCGGGGCGGCGGTTCTTCTGCCGCGTGGGCGCATTCCGCATCTAGCGAAACCGACTGGCTGCTGAGGAACTTGCCGCCGCTTCCGTTGCCTCCGCGCAGGACGGAGTTGTACTTGACAAAGAGCGGGCCCGTGTACAGCCGCCCGGCAACCAGCTCGAACCTTGTCATCTCGGGCTGCTCGATGGTACGCAGCCTCTCGTTGACGCGGTCCCTCTCCTCCTCGACCTTTGCGAGTGGGACAGGCCGCCGCCGGTGCCGCCGTTCTGGGAGCTTGCTGTCGCCCTCTGCGGGCCACTGCTCGAGTCGCAGCCGCGCAAGCCGCTCCCGTGTGGGGTCGATGACGAACCACCACTCGATCTCGCTGCTCGTCGTAACGCCGTAGTTGCCCGTCACAAACTTGAGCTTCGCGTCCGCCTTCTTCGTGTGCTCCGCCTCCATGGCCGAGTACACCTTTGGGTCGGGTGCTCCCACCTGGCCCTCCAGGCCGCCAAAGAAAACGTCGAGGCCGCCGTACGAAAGCTCGACTGCCCCCGCAAACTTGGAGTCCGCGTTGCCACCGCCCTGCGCGCCCGAGGCGGCGAGCTTCTGCAGCGCGGGAAAGAGCAGTGCGGCGAGCAGTTCGCACGCGCGCCCCTGCTGCAGATGAGCCGACAACGCGTCCACGGAGGCGAACCTTTCCGCCAGGACACGGGTCTGCTCAAACTGCGTGGCAGTGCTGCCCATGTCCAGCAGAGCTGAGGCCAGGGCCTGTGTCGCGCCGACTGAGGCAAGCCAGTCGGATGTCGTCCATAGCGCCGCTGCAGTCAGGTCGTCGCTGCTCTCCGACATGCTGCTCTGAATCGAGGCGCCGCGGCCGGCGTCAGCCGGATGCCCGGGCGGCACAATTCTTTTCCAGCCATGTCGCGCTCGTTTGTGTGTCTGTGTGTCGCTCGCGCGTGTCGTCGTCTTCTGTCTCTCGTCCACCCGTACCGCGAGAGAGAGCTCGCTCGCGCCACAATTCCGACAGGTCCGAGCCTTTTACAGTGTAGGCGAGCCCACGCGCCTCCACCGTCACGTGTGTGTGTTAGTATGCACGCGGCCCACCCACGTCTGGCGAGTAGGGAGTAGACCGGCACACACGCACGCACTCTCGAGGTCTCTTGGAGCAGAGGGGCCCCCCCGCGAGCCCTCTCGACAAAGCAACCCAGTAGTGGGTTAGGTTAGGCTTAGGAGAGAGAGAGAGTAGGTCTGAGGACTGAGCCCTGGTCTGACAGCCTGACAGCAAACCCCGGACACAGCGCCTGACAGCAGTGCCCGACAGCCTGACAGCGCTAACAGCACTTTCTCCGACAGCCTGACAGCACGTATCTGACAGCCCGACAGCAGAGTCTGACAGCGCGAGGTGCTCCGTCGCTGTCAGGCCCTAAGCTGCCCGACAGCCCGACAGCACACAGTGGCCTGACAGCAGCGCTGACAGCCGTCAGCCCGACAGCCCGACCAGCCCGACAGCAGCACAGACCGTACACAGACCGTACAGCCTCTTTCTTGTGCCCCATGAGGGTTTAACAAAACTATTAGTATCATGCAAAGACATGTGAGTGTGGTCCATGTCCATGTAATCATGGGATGGTCATGGGTCTCTCTGACTCTCAACCCTCCCGCCTCACCTCTGCGGACCCCTAGCACCGGCGGCTGTGCTACTACAAATGAAGCTACCAGCTAGCCTTCTGGGGCCCGCTACAGTCATATGCCCTACCCCCGCACTGCTGTGAACAGGTGCCGAACCCATACTGTGACCTGGTAGCATATGGCTACGGCGTCTGAGTGGGGGTGGCCGCCGCCGCCTGTGCCGCCGCCGCGGCCTGCGCCTGCGCCGCCATCTGCGCTCCCCACAGGGGACCTACTGTGTGGATCTACTCTCACTGGCTGCGGTCTCCTCTTGATAGTGTCATAAGTGTGGCTGGTGAGTGTCAGAGCCTGACAGCACCCCAACAGCACCACCTGACAGCACCTGACAGTACCGGCCCTACGTCTGACAGCAGCAGCAGCCTTACAGCTCTGACAGCTCCGACAGCGTCTGACAGCAACACCCGACAGCTCCGACAGCACCTGACAGCACCAGAGCACCTCGCCTGTCAGACAAGCACCCGACAGCACCCGACAGCACCTGACAGCTGGTCTGACAGAGGCACCTGACAGTGCCTGACAGTGCCCGACAGCCCGACAGATCACCTGACAGCACCTTGACAGCCTGACAGCCAGGGCTCAGGATTAGGTAGGAAGGTGAAGAACAGTCCACGCTCAGACTGGACACCAACGCGGTATGGGGTGGACGCGAGACAGAAGATGACGACACGCGCGAGCGACACACAGATACACACAAACTCACAAGACTCCAGCCAGCTGGGCTGCCACACATCCCAGTGAGCGCACGGCACTGCGCCACTCAGGGCCACGTCCCCCCTGTGACGCCCCCCCCAGCACCCACGGTTCTCACAGGCCAGCACCTACGGTTCTCACAGGCCAGCAACCAGTTCGCCTTACACTCGCATCCATGATTGACCGGACATAGATATGATGAATCTAACCCAAAAACAGGGCATTTAAGAAACCCTACCAAGCGATTTCCGCGAAAATCTAAGAAACCACGGCGCGCCGCAGGCGCGGCCCCAAGAAAGGGCCCACACACGAGTGTGAACAGGAGCCCCACTTAAATTTTCTCTTCGCCTGCGGCGCGCGCACTTGTCATTTGACATTTGCCCAAGTCTGCGGTGTTCTGGGCGGTGTGGATGGAGGTGTGTGTGCGTCTTCCTGTCATCCCAAGTGGGTGGCAGACTGCGGACAGACTGCGGACTTGCGACATCGGTCCAGCGCTTCCTTATTGTCATTTTACCTAAAATTTCCTAGATCCCGGCTGACCTGGGGTGCCGGCCGAAGGCGAAGCTAAGAAACCACGGTGTGGGGTGGGTGGGGTGGGTGGAAAGGCTTATAGAAACGGCGGCGTGCCGCGTGATCCTGTTTTCTTAATGCCCGCAACAGACTGTACAGTGGGTTGCGGGTATTAAGAAAACAGGATTCCACGGCACGCCGCCGTTTCTAAGCCTTTCCTCACTCCTGGGCCTCACCCACACCCCATGCCGTGGTTTCTTAGCTCCGGCCGCTTAGGGGACCCTAGGCTTAAAAGGGTGGGCCCTAGGGCGCCTGCGGCTTAAACGGCTTAAAACTTGCCATGGCAAGTTTTAAGAGCTGCTGGGCCGCCAATTCCTTAAACGGTCTTAAACGCTTAAACGGTGCGGGAGAGCTACCGAGGTCGATGGTCCGGGAGGCTCCCGGTAGACACGCCGGAGGCCGGGAAGCTGGCTACAGTCACCGAGTCAGCTTCTAGCACGCGCCCCCTATGCGAGTATGCTGTATGGCTCCTGCCAGTGCACCAGACTTACAGATGTGTCTTCAGAGGCGGGTCTGTGCCTAATAACGGCAGTATTGGAGAAAACGGCGCGGAACCCAGCGACGCGTGCCGGCGAGGCCGATTTTCTTAAACGGTCTTAAAAGAGGGACCCCCCGTGCCTGCAATCTCTTAAATGGCAATTTATAAGCCACCCAAACCTCCTCGTTTCTTAAAAGGTCTTAAAAAATCCGGCCCTCAGAACCCTAGGGGTACCCTAAGTCCGGCCGGCACTCAAGCCAGAGCCGGCCCGAAGGATTTTTAGGTAAGAGGGGAGGTAAGCTGCGGTCCGCGAGGGCGATGCCAGAGTCTGCCGCCGAGTCGGCTCTCTGTCTGGATACTGGATGACGGGAAGACGCACACACGCCTCCATCCACCCCACTCAGAACACCGCCGACTTGGAAAGTGACAAGTGCGCGCGCCGCACAGGCCAAGAGAAAGAAATTTTGAGCTGGGGCTCCCGTTCACACTCGTGTCTGGCCTTTTCTCGGGGCCGCGCCTGCGGCGCGCCGTGGTTTCTTAGATTTTTGCGAAAATCGTTTGGTGTGGTTTCTTAATGCATAATGGTAAGTAAGGTTTTTTAATGCCCGCAACCCACTGTAGGTAGGGAGAGAGAATAATGTGAGAGTCGTGATTTCTTGTTGGTTTCCTAAAATCTCTCTCTCTGTAGGGCGACAAGACATGCGTAGACGGCGGTGAAGCGCTGTTCTGGGCCGAAGACCGGAAAAGAAAACTGAGTAGGGTCACTATCGCCGTGCCGAACACGTGCCGAACAACGAACGATGCGCTTGGCGCTGTTGCTCGGACTCGTCGTTTTCGCGGCAGCAGACGAGGCCAACGCTGCGGCAGCAGACGCGGACCTCGCGGCGCTCGAAAAGGAGCTGCACGAGGTCCGCGCTCGGCTTTCGTCAGCCGAGGCGGCAAGGTCGAGCATCGAGGCGCAGTCGGCGGCGGCCAAGTCGCAGGCCGATAAAGCCCTCGCCGAGCAGCGGCAAGCGGCGGCCGCGGCCGCCGATCGAGCAAAGGAGGCAGCCGCGGCGCGCCAGACGGCGCAAGAGGCAGCGACGGCGGCGGCGGCCACGCGGAAAACAGCAGAGAGAGAGATCGAGGGGCTCAAGGCGAGGCTAGTGGAGGCGCAGGCCGAGCTGACCAGCCTCAAGTCGGACCTCC